GTTCCTCTCTACTCTTGACTGTGGTTGTGCTGTGATGTGACCAGCAGCCTGAGTTCCTGCCTTGACTTCCCCTTAATAAAGAACTATATATATAAAACCTGGAATTATAAACTAGATATACTCTTCCTTCCATAGCAACAGAGATGACTCTAAAACCTGCATGCATGCATGCACACGCATACACATTCACATGCCATCCCATTCAATGCCAGGGCCACTTGGCAGGGGCTATGTGACTGCTTTCATGCATAAATGAATTGGAAACATCTGTGAGACAAGGGCCTGATAATGCCTGACATACAGCTCAGTCTCTGAGCACAACATCCTGCAGTCAAAGGATGGAGGTGAACCAAGTTCACATTCCTTGGTAGTGTTTTCAAAGTCCTGCACCACTAATGGCCCCCGACACCAATTTGAAAAGCTCTTTCAATATGGCTTTTCCTCACAACTTTTCTTTTAGATTTATCCACTCCAACCTCTACCACTTACCAAGCCCACCCTGTAGTGCCATGCTCTCTGCTATCATGTTGTAACCTTACAGTTTGTCTAGCTGATCCCAGGCTAACTGTTGGGCATTTGGAGTTCTTTCCCATTGCTCAAAGAGATAATAAATGGTCTTGTGCAGCAGTTTTTTGTAGCCATGGCCATCCTGGATCCCCCACACAGCTCAGTTCTTACAGTCACACAGCATTGCCCCAAAGTAATTTTCTTGTATTTATTTATTTTTACATTTTAAATTGTATTTTGTGTGCACGTATGTGTATGTGTGTGGGCACACATGTAGAGGTCAGAGAACAACTTGTGAGAGACAGTTCTCTCCTTCTACCATGTGGGTCCTGGAGATTGAATTTAGGCCATCAGCTTGGTAGCAGGTAACTTTACCCACAGAACCATCTTGCTAGCCCAAGAATTCTTCTTGATTAAAACTTTTTACTGACGTGACACATGAATCTTATCTTGGAGACTATAATTCAAGAATGAACATTTAAAAACAACTTGAACAAAACATATATATATATATATATATATATATATATATTCTTGATATTTCTACACTGTCCTTAACCTCACTGTATGCCCCAGGCCATCTTGAACTTGTGATATTCCCACCCCAGTCTCCTGGGTGCTGAGATTGTAGGCATGTACTGCCACGCCTGACATTCTCATCAGTGTGCCTTATGATTATAACCAAAAAAAGTCATTAAGTTTCTGATGGCTCTATGTGAAATTTAATGATAGTTTTAAAATGCAAATGGCTCGAACTAAACTAGTTTTTCTTCTGTAATGGGCTGTGGAAGCTGTGGAGATGGGGATGCGGGGGAGCACAGACTTCCCTTGACGTGGCTCCTCTGCCAGGAGGGTTCTCCTCTCAAGAGCTTTTCTTGGGGTGTTTGCTTGTTCCTAAGTTCTCATCTTTGATTGGTCTTTCATCTTAGGCCTGAGTTAGGGCAAAAATTGAGCAGCACCTACTGCAGAGTTCTTCGGCCCTTGCTCCCCCTCTAATACTCTACTAGGCTCTGCTTGACCCACTTTTCCTCTCCCTTTCTGTCAGTCATTACATGTTGTTAGTGAGAATGGAACCCTATACACCTGTCCTCGTTGGGCTACTTGCACATCATACCTTATCTCCAATTGTGGTTACAAAGGCTTGCTGCCAGTTTTGGAGGTTTAAGCACTGATAAGCTAATGTAGAAATCTGTAGAGGGGCTCAGTGGTTAAGCACACTGGCTGCTCTTGCAGAGGACCAGGTTCAGTTCCCAGTACCCACATAGCAACTAAGAACCATCAGTAACTCCAGTTCTAGGGGATCCAACACCTTCTTCTGGCCTCTGAGGCCATTGCATTCGTATTGTATGGTACACTTACATACATACTGGCAAAACACTCATACACATAAAATAAAAATAAAAATAAAATGGAAAAAGTCATTTGGAGGAACTTCCCAGGACTTTTTTATCGAAATTACAAGTTGTGCTGGATAGCTTTAGTGTCAACTTGACACACCTGGGTTGAGGGATCCTCAATTGGGGAATTTCCTCCATTGAACTGGCCTGTGGCCATGTCTGTTGGGTATCTTCTTGATTGTTGTGTGATATGGGAGGGCCCAGCCCACTGTGGGTGGTGTCACCTCTGGGAAGGTGGGCCTGTGTTGCATAAGAAAGCAGGCTGAGCAGGGGCCAGGGTAGCAAGCCAGTAAGCAGCATTCCTCCATGACCTGTGCTCCAGCTCCTGCCTCCAGCTTCCTGCTCTGAGTTCCTACCTTGGGCTCCCTGATGAACTGTGACCTGGGAGATGTAAGATAAAATAAACCCTTTCCTCCCCAAATTGATATTGGTCAGAGTATTATGTCACAGCAATGGAGAAACAAACTAGGACAGAAATTGGTACCAGAAGTGGGATATTGCTGTGACAGACCTGATGTTGGAGGATTGTGGAAGCGTCTGGAACTTTGGGCTGGAAAAGCCATTGAGTTCTTAGAGTTTGTTGCTGTGGTACTTGAAACAGTTATGCTGAAAGAGTTGTGAACAATGGCGGTCTGGCTTGTGAAGCTTCAAAGGGAAGCAGAGACTATCAGGACTGTTTGTATGATATTTTGAATTGAGAATCTGTGGGTTCTGGTTGGCTGGGGCTGAAGAATCAGCTGTGATTAAGAAGAGACCAGAACCTGAAGTAAAACTTTTGCTTTACTGGGACAATTGATGCTGATTAGCTGGGGCTGAAAAGTCAGCTGTAAGTAACAAGAAACCAGCATCACTGAGAAGTCTTCTGGGAGGTATTTCCTCACGGTCAGCACACAGAGGGGACCCGAGCCTCCATCTCAAGCTGGAAGCGGGACTTGGCAATGTGTTAAGAGTCTCCTGCGTGGTTCTGGTGTTGAAAGAGTGAAGGGGGTCACAGAGAGCAACTGAGGCTTGGCACGCAGAGGCCAGGAAAGGCCTCAGGTGAACGTGCAGCTTCAGTTGCAGTGAAGACCTCAGGAGTGAAGGGATCATGGAGAGAATCTGAGGTTTTGCACCCTGAAGAGGCCAAAAGAGACCATTGGTGAGGGTGCTGCCTCAGTTTCAGTGGAGACCCCAGCTTTTTGGAGATGCCAGGACCATGGGACGACCACTAAGGACAGCAGCAGGTGTGGAATGGAGCTGGCCTGGGTCTGTGAGACGAGCTGTGTGTGCTGTGGACTGCAAAGTCAGAAGTGGAGCTG